AACATCGAGGTACCAGTTAATTTCCAAAAAATTCCTAAAGTTACGTTTGAAAAATGAATCGACCCAATGTGCAGGCTAAAGTTAAAAAATTCGCAACTTCCAATGTTCAAGAGCCAAAGATTTGCAATTTTGCCACCCTGTAACCAAAGACCTGAACTATACTGGCACCCAAAATTATTTACATCGAAATATTAGTTGATTTTTTTGAAATTCCTAAACTTTGAAAACGGAATTGACCCAACGAGCATGATGATGCAAAAAAACTCGAAACCTCCAAACCTGAATAGGTGCAGGTTTGAAATTGTTTTACCCTGTAGCCAAAGACCCGTACTCTTGGCCCCACAACTATAAAAAATGAAATGATTGGTTGATTTTTGAAAAATTCTTAAAATTACTTTGGGAAATCAATTGATGCAATAAACAGGCTAAAGTGAAAAATGCAACTTCCAAACTTCAAAACGTGAAGACTTGGAAATTAGGTCACCCTATTGCCACATCAACTGTACTATGCGTCGACTGAAACCCAATAAAATTGAGGAGTTGGTTGGTTTTTGAAAATTTTCCAAATTTACGTTTAAAGTTTCTCTAAAAAATCAATTGACCCAAAGGGCAGGCTGAAGTAAAAAAATTCGTAACTGCCAAGGTTCAAAAGGATAAGGTCTGAAATTTGGCCACCCTGTAGCCAAAGACTTGCGCCATCCTGGCGCCGGACGAATATTAAAATCGGAATACTGGTTGATTTTTCAAAAATTCTTAAAGTTGCTCTTAAAAAATCAATTGGCCCAATGAACTCGCTAAAGTTAAAAAAATTACAACTTCCAAGTTTAAAACCGTGAAGGCTCGAAATTTCGCAATCCTCTAGCCAAAGACTCGTACTATGCTTGGAACATAAACTATTAAATTCAAAACGCCGGTTGATTTTTAAAAAAATCCTAAATTTACTGTGAAAAATCAATTGACCTAAAGTGCGCGATAAAGCAAAAAAATCGAAACCTCCAAACCTGGAAATGTGGATGTTTCATACTTATCCACCCTGTAACCAAATACCCGCACTATACGTAAAGCAAAAACTGTTAACATGGAAGAAATAGTTGTTTTTTTGAAAATTTTCCAAAATTCACTCCGAAGTTCAATTGACTCAATATGCAGGGTAGAATGCAGTAAGAAAAATCGCAACTTCCAAACCTCAGAGGGCAGAACCCTGAAATTTTACCAACCTGTAGCCAAAAAACCAATCCTATGCTTTAGAGGAAAACTGTCAGAAGCTAAGAATTGGTTGATTTTTGAAAATTTCCAAAACTTGCTCCGAAAAATCAATTCACCCAATGTTTGGACTAATGTAAAAAAATCGCAATTTCAAAACCTCAAACGACGGATGTTTCAAATTTTGCCACCCTGTAGCCAAAAACCTTCGCTGTACTTGTACCCAACGCTATTAAAATCAAAGAATTGGCTGATTTTTCAAAAATTAGCAAATTTTCTCTGAAAAATCAATTGACGCAACGTACGGCTCAAGCTAAAAAATCCCAACTTTTCAATCTCAAAAAGCTTGAAATGTTGTCACCCTATAGCCAAAAAGCCAGACTATGCTTGCAATGAAAGCTGTTGAAATGCAAAAATTGCTTGATTTTTGAAAAATTCTTAAAGTTCCTTCGAAGGTTGAAAAAATTGACTCAAAAAGTAGGCTAAAGTAAAAAAAGTCGGAACTACCAGAACTCGAAAGCTGAAGGCTTGGAACTTTACCACCCTGTGCCAAAGACTTGCACTAACCTGGCACTCAAAAAATAGTTAAATCGGAAGACTAGTTGATTTTTGAAAAACTATTAAAGTGGCTCTTAAAAAATCAATTGACCCAATGGACAGGCTAAAGTTTAAAAGCTCGTAGGTTTCCAGCTTCAAAAGGTGGAGATTCCAAATTTTGCTATCCTTCAGCCAAAGGCTCATCTATGCTTGGAACTATTAAAATCCAAACCATCGTGGATTTTTGAAAAATTCCTAGTTTTCTCTGAAAAATCAATTGACTCAATGTACACGGTTAAGTATAAAAAATCGCAACTTTCAAACCTCGAAAGATGGAGACTTGAACTATTTCCACCCTGTAGCTATAGACCCGTTCTATGCTGCGACTGAAAACTTTTCAAATCGACATTTTGGTTGATTTTTGAAAAATTCTTAAAGTTATTCTTAAAAAATCAAACGACCCAATGAGCTGGCTAAAGTTAAAAAAATTGCAACTTCCAAGCCTCAAGAGGTGGAAACTTGAAATTTAGCCACCCTGTAAGCAAAGCCGCGTGCTATTTTCGGACCAAATTTCAGCAAAATCCAAAGCCAGCTTCATTTTTTCCCATTCAACTTTCACAGCAGGATAAAATGTGAACCTGTCTAGCAACTGCTGAAAGCCCCCCTGTGGAACGCCACTGAAGCCGAACTTTACTTACGATGCCAACCGGGAGGATATGGGGATGGTCGCCCGCATAAATTTCCCGATTTTCCTGCGGATCGCTTAAACATTCGCTCAAAAAAGGGCCGATTCGTCATGGAAAATCAGCGAGACGGCGAGCAAATCAGAGCCGCATAAACCTCGACCTTTGGCCCTTAACACGTCACCTCAATCATCCGCTCATTACGGTTCGCGGCTGATCGTTTCGCTCATTAGAGCCGCGCTCTGTCAGCTCTATTCGCAGCTGGCACGCTCTGTCTCCATCTAGCGCGTCTCCATGACAACTGGAGGGAACACGGGCGGAGCCTCCGGGAGCGAATCACGGCGGCCACAAAATGATCGCTCAATCGATAATGCGCCGCTCAAAAAGACCTCAATACACTGGGTGGGCGAAAGA